ACAGCCTTGTGAGAGTAACTTCTTGATCTTAGTTCATCTCACCTGGAAAATAGGTTTTGATAGTGAAACCTATATAAAAAAGGTTTGCTCATTATATTCTCCCTCTCTCCCTGTTTCTCCTCCCCACCCCACCCCTGTGTGATGGGGGTCATCCTTCTGTATATGTGTTTCTTTTATTGGTTGACTAAAACACTATTTGGCCTACAGCCAGCAGAGGCAGGAAGATAGGCAGGACTAGGAGATGAGGAGAATTCTGGGAAAGGTAGATAGAGAAGGGCCAGAAAGAGTCACTGTGTAGACCACACAGGAGCAACAGGTCTGCACCCTTCTCCAGTAAGATAAGACCAAGTGGAAATACATAGATTTATAGAAATGAGTTAATAATTAAGACAGAGCAAGCTAATAAGAAGCCCTAGTCATTGGCCAATAATTAATGTAGCATCTGTGTGCTTATTTGGGGCTCAAGGGTGGCAGGACCAGGTGGGACACCTGTGTGTGTGTATGAATGTGTGTGTGTGTGTGGTATGCACATGCTTTTGTGTGTGTGTGTGTGTGTGTGTGTGTGTGTGTGTGTATGTGTAGTGAGCACATGCTCTAATGTGTGTGGAGGCCAGAGGTCAGCCTTGGATCTTACACCTCAGGAGCCTTATACCTTGTCTTCTGAGATAGGGTCTCTCATCATCCTGGAACCAACAGATTCATCGAGGCAGGGCAGTGAGCCTCAGGGATCCACCTGTCTCTGTCTCCCTGGACTGGGATGACATGAACATGCCACCATACCTGGCTTTGAAAACAAAAACAGATTCTTAGTCCTCATGTTTATAAGGCCAGCCTTTTGCCAACTGAGCTGCCTCTCTAGGCCTGCATTCTACCATCTCTCTAGTGTCTATAACTGTCTAGCAGTGGGGAGGGGGTCATGTGGAACCCCTCTTTTTGAGGGTCCAGAGAAAGGCTTCTGCTGGCTTTCCTTGTACAGTGTCAGGATGTGCTGGCAGACACTGCCAGGAAAACAGAAAGGAAGCAAGGGAATCTTATCTGCTCCAAGATGGTTTTGGTTTTTCTTTTAGACATGATGCATTCCCTGGAGGGTCTGTGTGTGTCAACATCCACAAGAACAGGCGACTTATTCCTTCCGTAGGAAGCTGTTGACAGGCTCTGTCCCTGTGACAAATAGGGCCTGAAGGTGGTAAACCTAGGTTTGATAGTTATCAGTCTTCATTCTCTTGAGATGAATCTTAACAATCTTGGCTGTAGGCCTGGTGTGAGGTCAGTGGACCAGAATACAAGGGCCATTCTTCTGGGAAAGGTCAGTGCTCTCCTCAGCGGTACTGCCTGTTCCTCAGTGGGGCTCTGCGAAGTCCCTTTTACGTCCACATCCGTTCTCCCCTGAAGCTGGTTGCCTTATCTTGGGAAGACATGATTCCACCAGGCTGTTCCTATGTCTCTGACCTCACAAGTGAACTAATCTGTCATGGAATTGTTAGGATCATGTTGTACCCTACTCAAAATATTTCCATATTGTGTAAACCAGGTCTCTCAGATGTCCCCTGCTTGAGAGAGTCCTCAGTGGTAAGAGACTCCATGTCCTAAGTGGGTTGAACTTTTTCTTTTAAGTCCCACATCTTCTCATTGTCTTCCATCATGCCCCACGTGTAAATACTTTTGAGATAGCTCTCACCGGGCAGCACAGGCTAGCCCTGTGACCCTACTACCTTAGCCTCCTGAGTGCTGGGATTACAGGTGTCTTCATACCTGCTTTATCCTTACTTACATCGGAGATGGGTCTCCACGATTTTTTGAGGGCAGGGACTGGGTCTATTGGTCGTCTGACTCCCAGGGTAGAATAAACACAGGTCTGTGGGTGTACCACATGAGCTTTAGGGTGGGTCAGTGACTGCACCCACTGGGTCCTGAGTGGGCTTTGAAAAAACACCAGGGCCACTGATACCTCCTTACCAGGTACCTTCAGGGCATGCTTTCCCATCTCCCATCTCAGGAGAAGGTACAAGGAGCCTAAGAGGCTCATGTTGTGTTCTTTATCTTCTCAGCATGAACATGACATCATCTGCTGTGTCAGCTTTGCATGAACATGACATCATCTGCTGTGTCAGCTTTCCCAGAGTGTTCCTTGCAATTTTCTCACTTCAAATCTAAGGGACACAGCCCTTTCCTCTGTGTCAGTATTCTTGAAAACCCGTCTCTATTTTGGTCTATGTAAGCTTCTTGCTTTGGGGATTGACTTCTTGACCTTTGGGACATCCCTCTTGTCTGTGCATTGCATTCATCTCTGAGGACACGTCCTTATTTCCTCTTGGTGATTATTTTAAGCTTTAGTGATATAATTAAGTCCTTGGGAGCCCTTAATTTTACCGGAGCTGTCCAAGATGGTGATAGTGGACAGATGGGAAGGGGCACCTAGAGAAACAAGGGTCAAGTGACAAGAACTTGGTGACCATTTGGACATGGAGGAGGCAGCGATGACTCATACATCTCTGAGCTGTTTGTGCTGGAGATGGAAAATCACCCAGGGTCTGCGATGTGCCAGCCAAGCCTCCACCCCTGAGCTAGCCTTGCCCTTTGATTATGGTTTTGAAATAATGAGTGACAGGTTTCTGCTGCAGACACAGAAAACTCAGGAGAGGAAGAAGAAAAAGAGAAGGCAGGAGACAACAAACATTGTTTGAGGTGTCTCCATAGAAACAAGGTAACAAAATGAAGAGGTAATCGGAGATATAGGAACTATGACTCAGGAGGCCGTTGACATGAGGATGCCAGCTAAATCTGGGGGAGCTAGTGAGAGATAGCAGTGGGCTTATGGCATGGCCGTGGTCAGGGATGGCACAAGAGAGTTCCTTCTTGAAAGAGACTAAAAGTATAATCAGCGAAACTGAGGAAGAAAGCCAGGAGAAGAACTTGAATCCGAGGCCACCGGAGGGTAAGAAGGGATGCTCAACAAGCTTAGGTAGAGACTTCAGATCAGGACTGGATCGGCATGAAGGCCACTGGGAACCCTGGGGAAGACGCTTTCAGCCCAGAGGGGGCAGCGGCTCCCGCAGAGTGTAGAGGAGGTCCTTAGGAGAAGGGAATGGGCAAAGGAGGCAGCAGCTTCTAGAGCAGACCCGCTCATCCTGTTCACCGGGCCTCGCCCTGGGTCCTGGGATGTAGTAATGGGAAAAGAGGCAAATGCCCCCTTCTTTATCCTGTGGGTATTCTACGGAGTCCACACAGAGGTATTATGGTTTGGATATTAAATGCCCTCCCCAAACTCAAGGGCTGAATGTGTGGACCCCAATGCAGGAATTTATAAGCAGAGGCTGGGGGTGGGGGTGGGTGGTGACTGGATCAGGAGGGTCCAGATCTAATCAATGGATTCATAGCTTAATGGGTTTCAAAGGGAGTGGCTTTGTTTCACACTGAATCAGTCTGTGCTTTCTCTCATTCCTTCAGCTACTGTGACATGAACCCTGTCTGCTGTGGTCAACTGTGCCAGCATAGGCCCCCAAACAGGGCCAAGTGACCATGAATCAAAAATTCTGAAATGGGCAAAAACAGACAGACAAACTTCCTAGAAGCTGATTTTCTTAACACATTTTGTCACAGAGACAGGCTGATCCACACAGAAAGACTCATTTTAGAGGCTGTGATTAGAATCACCATCTAACGGGTGAAGAAGCCTAAAGAGGTTGGTTTAGAACTTGCCCCACCCTGCCCTGCCTCACCCTGAACCTTTGACCCTCCTTACGCCACCTGAATGGGAAGGGCGCGTGGGAGGGATCCTGCCACCCAGCAGGAGAATATAGACATGAAGTGCAGATTGTACAGCTGTCTAAGCTGGTCAAGGCAAGGTCCTCCCTCTCCCCCACCATTTATCACTTAGCTTTTTCTGAGTCCCGAGAGGTAACTGCTGTAGCTCCCTCTGCCTACAACTCTAGGATTGGATTTTCCTCTCTACCCTCACTGGAGGTAGAACCCAAGCAATCTCCCACAAGAGATGCAATGCTGGAGAGACCTTAGTTAGAGGTCCAAATGGATTGGTGCTTTCTCCAAACCGAGTTGAACTTTGACACTTGCAACTGAGAGGCTGCAACTGAGAGACCAGTCCAGCTGCCCTGGATATCATCTGCGACTGTGTCAAGTACACTGTTTAGTTTGGCAGAAGCCTGCTGACTCCAGGGGTCCTGCTATGCAGTGCTGCTTGCACTTTGGAGGTGCCAGCACAGCAGGTGATGGAGGGACAAGTAAGAGAGGAGCTTTCTGCACCGAGGAGACGATAATAGCTCCTTGGTACAAAGGAATCACTGTCGACAAAAGTTTTTCCTTCACATCTCTTAAGCTATAATCATGGAGAACTGTAAGCTATCAATTCAGGGTGATGTTGAGCGCTCAGGCTGGATGAGAGAGACAGTCCATGCAATGCGAGCTTAGAGGAACGCGTTGTGGGCAGAGGGGAGTGAACTGTTGATTCCTTCCCACACTCTTTCCTCTGGAGACTGGTCTGTGGGAGTCCTGGGGGCCTGCACCGGTGGGGGGGAGGGGCAGCTGTGGTTACATTGGATGTGTGTGTTCAGGGGGGAGGGGCAGCTGTGGTTACATTGGATGTGTGTGTTCAGGGGGGAGGGGCAGCTGTGGTTACATTGGATGTGTGTGTTCAGGGGGGAGGGGCAGCTGTGGTTACATTGGATGTGTGTGTTCAGGGGGGAGGGGCAGCTGTGGTTACATTGGATGTGTGTGTTCAGGGGGGAGGGGCAGCTGTGGTTACATTGGATGTGTGTGTTCAGGGGGAGGGGCAGCTGTGGTTACATTGGATGTGTGTGTTCAGGGGGGAGGGGCAGCTGTGGTTACATTGGATGTGTGTGTTCAGGGGGGAGGGGCAGCTGTGGTTACATTGGATGTGTGTGTTCAGGGGGGAGGGGCAGCTGTGGTTACATTGGATGTGTGTGTTCAGGGGGGAGGGGCAGCTGTGGTTACATTGGATGTGTGTGTTCAAGTTCTTTTCATACCTTTCCCATGCCAGCATGGGCATGTCCCAGCTTGATCACCACGGGGAAGTGCGGGGCTGTGAGCTGAAAGACACAAGAGGAAATCACTCATTAGCAATCTCAGAGCATTGCCACAGGGAGACTGTGTTCTACAGAGAGAGTCACTCATAGAATGCTGTCAGGGATCCCCCAGGGCCATCTGCAGGTGCTCACCCTGTGCTATAGCTGCAATAAGACCTGTGTCCATCTGAGATCTCATAGTCAGCTGGCCGGGAGCACCCAACAGTCTGCAGAGACAGAGGTGTCCAGACAGCTGATTTAATATTCTGGCCTTACCATAGTGCAGCTGCAGACAAAGAATTATGTGAATCCATGTCTGTTTCCTCATCTGAAAAATGGGGGAGATAATACCAGTGGCCACACAATGGACGGTCGTGAAATGGCAGCAATTGCTTTTCTTCCTTAGAAAACTGCTTTCCTATTTGATGTTCGTGGGTGCTTTGCCCACGTGTGTCTGGTGCCCATGGAGCTAGGTCAGACACTGGATCCTATAGAACTGCAGTTACAGATGACCCTGAGCTAGGTCAGACACTGGATCCTATAGAACTGCAGTTACAGATGACCCTGAGCTAGGTCAGACACTGGATCCTATAGAACTGCAGTTACAGATGACCCTGAGCTAGGTCAGACACTGGATCCTATAGAACTGCAGTTACAGATGACCCTGAGCTAGGTCAGACACTGGATCCTATAGAACTGCAGTTACAGATGACCCTGAGCTAGGTCAGACACTGGATCCTATAGAACTGCAGTTACAGATGACCCTGAGCTAGGTCAGACACTGGATCCTATAGAACTGCAGTTACAGATGACCCTGAGCTAGGTCAGACACTGGATCCTATAGAACTGCAGTTACAGATGACCCTGAGCTAGGTCAGACACTGGATCCTATAGAACTGCAGTTACAGATGACCCTGAGCTAGGTCAGACACTGGATCCTATAGAACTGCAGTTACAGATGACCCTGAGCTAGGTCAGACACTGGATCCTATAGAACTGCAGTTACAGATGACCCTGGGTTGCTGTGGATGCTGGGAATTGAATCCAAGTCCACTGCAAGAGCAGTCAGTGCTCTTAATCCGACACATCTCTTCAGTCCCATGTGAGGATTCCTAAAACTGTGACTTCAGAGAACAGCAGCTTCATTTTTCCTGGCCTCCAGTGATACCTCAGGAGCCCGTGGAGTCTCCTCACCACTCAGTCTTCTTCAGGCCACTGGCATTTGTCAGTTGTCTACACCCCACAGACACTGTGTTCAACAGCTCATGGTGGTGGCTTCTTTGGAGCATCCCACTGTTTCCCAGGCAACCACCCTTGCCTGCCTGTTGCATTGCCAGTCTCTCGGACACTTCTAATCCCAACACAAGGTTGGATACAGAATGTGTGCTTCAATATGCTCCATCAGCAACATTTCCTCAAGGTGTGGTGTGCGTGCATCTCTACATCTGATACAAATAAAGACTGAGAGGAAACCAGGGCTCACATCCGATTTGTAGCTTTCATGTCACTCCTATGTTGTCTGAAGGGGGTTGGCTTGGCTTGTAGGAGTCTATTCTGGTTTTCCTGCTACATAGTAATGAGGGATCAGTCTGTCCCTCAACAGGGGTCACCACACCCCTTCTCTAGGCTGTGTAGTCTGTCACCCTGCTCTGAGTTGTTCCCAACAATGCACTTGTTCTTATGTATCAGGGGCCCCGAGGAGCTCAGCTTTTCCCTCTGGGTGCCTACTACACAAAAGTACCGAATGAACTCAATTGCAAACTTGATTGTATTAAGAAACACTGAGGAGATTACTGAAGCACACTTCCGAGGGTTTGTGAGTGTATTTCCAGAGCCGGCTGGATCATGAGACTTAGACCTAATGGATGGATGACCTCTCGGTGGTCTCTAAACATGATGGCAGAGCTGGGAGGTGGTAAAACATTAGAGGCGGGTCTGGTTGGAGGAAGTGTTCTTGGGGACTACGCCCTGCCCTGGCCCCTTACTATCAGAGAGCCATTCTGCTTCCTCTCCATGATGCAGTGAGCTGTGCAGCACCCCTCCCCGTGATGGAATGACCCATTTGAAACCATGAGCCACAATAAACCCTTCCTCCATTATGTTGGTTATGTCAAGTATTTTGTCACAAAAACGAGAAGCAACAAGAAGCAAGGTATACATCATCTCATCACACTCCCACGATGCCCCTTGAGGTAATCTGGAAAAGTGCTCATCACTACCATCATCATCACTGTCATCATCATCATCACCATCATCATCATGGTCATCGTTGTCGTCATCGTCGTTGTCATTATTGTCCATGTTGTTGCTATTTAAGCATTTTACAGATAAGAAAATTTTGCCAGCTGAGAGCTGAGGACTTAAATTGGATTCTATAATTCCCACAACCGGTTTGAGTAATTTTGCCCCCTATTTCAGGCTAAAATTACCATACTCCTGTACTCAAGGTGAACCAACTTGTCTTTTTAAATAAAGAGGTAATATTTGACTTTGATACCAAAAGCAATATGCACTCAGTGCAAAAGTCTGGAGACTGCAATAAACTGTTAAGTATAAAAAAGATAATAACAGTTGTTCCAGACTTCCTGTCTGCTAGTCTGAGAAGAAAACCCTATAGTTGTTTTTTCATTTGTTCTGTTTTTATGAAATTGAGAGCATAGCACATATCCAATTTTGTTTCACACTCTGCACCTATAAGTGGTGAGAGCATTTCTGGTGGTTATTGTTTGTTGGCTTAACAGTTATAAAGTATTTCATGTCTGAAAGAGACTTCAAGCGCAGTGTTGGATATCATATTGATGAAGCAAAACTCTACCCAAGCAATTGAAAGCCATGATGTAATTCTTCCTGGATGTAACCTGTTTCCTCCCACCCTAGAGGGAATCAGTGTATGGTGTCTGTGTTTATCATTCCCTTGCATTTATTTATAGCCTTACTATCATATAATCCCTAACAAACATTATATGTCTTGAAACTTCAGTTTTTATGCTTTAAAAACATTCTTTCACACGCACACACTCACAGACACATGAACACACGCACACACACCCTCTCTCTTGTACTTCATTCCCCTATTTTCTTAAATCACCCCTTCTTCCCCCCAAGTCCCTCACCTACTCTCCCATCTTTTTACTTGTCTCTGACACACCGCACGCAGTTAGGGCCGCCTGCAAGAACACAGGCGTGGGAGCCACGCATTTGAACAGGGTCTTCCAGTGGCTGCACCATTGAGGAACACAACTCTCCCACCCCCAACTTCTGACTCCCTACAGCTCCTCAGGGAGGGATGGGGCCTCTTGAGCCTCTCCCCATCCATGATGGTGGCTGATGGGTCCAGCCTTTCGCAGGCTTTGTGTAGTAGCTACTGCTTCTGTGAGTTCATGGGGGCGCGTGACAACAGTCATAGCAGCTTTTCACTTCTCCCCATCCCCGAGCTCTTACATTCTTTCCACAGGTTTCCCGGGCCCCAGGAAGAGTGGCATACATATCACATCTGATCATTCCACTCTTATTCTTAGCATTTGATCAGTTGTGCGTCCCTGCTTTAACTTGTCACCCGCTGTAAACAAAGGCTTTTTTCACCAAGGCTGGGAGCAGTGCTGATCTATGGGTATAAACATAATGTTTAGAAGGCAGTTTGACACCATGTTCATAAAGAAAATAATCATGCTAGATTCTTCCCTAGGACCTTCTCCAACCTTGGGAGACTTGCATTTTATCAACCTGACCAGTGTGAGGCGCTCGTCCAGTGCATTTCCACCAGGGATATTTTGTTACCTGGCATAGTCATCACACCCAGCCAGCATTTCCAATTGTAGGCATACACACTCAGCAATCGAAAGGTTGGAGGCTTTGTTTCCATCTCATTTGAAGGCGGGGCTGGAGGGGAGGGGAGATGATGTTCTTTTCCCTCTGTCCTGTCCACTCTGGTCACATACTGCACTGGTGGGACCTGGAGGGAGCGTGGCATGCCACTGGTCCTGTCATTTACTCTCTGTTTAATTTTAGGCCAGATATTAGTTTCCCAATCTGCAAAAGGGGATGATAATACTTAACTTGTAGGGCTGTTAAGCAAGGGCATGGCAAGAGGAAGAAATGAGTATAAACTACTTAGCTAAAAGCAGTAAAATCCCAAGTATAAAGTCGAGGAGAGGGGAGGGAGGCGCTAGTAACAGGGAGATAATAGGGAGAACCAGGTGATGGAGAAGATTGGAGGTTCTGGTCTCACAGCACCTCCTGATCTGGGCTGGGGATGCTGAAATCACAACCCAGGAGAATCATGACCACACCACGAGTGCTCCCGGTTGGGTAACTTCAATATTAAAACTTTGACTGTGATGATTAACATTGATACTGTGCTTGAATGGAGTGAGAGACACCAAAGGGATCAGTTAGATTACAAGGGCGATGGCCTAAGTAGTGGTTAATCTATTGATGGGTTCAGACTTTAAGCGTGTTATCTAAAGGCAATTATGGAAGATGAATGGGGCCCAGTGGAAGGAAGTGGGTCATGGGGGTGTGTCTTTGGAAGCCATATCTTGCTGCGTGTTGTTCTGCCTCACCACATCCCAAGAACCAAGAACTGTGGACTGAAGTCTCTACAACTGTGAGCCAAAGCAAGTCCTTCTTCTCCATTAAGTTGTTGGTATTTTGTCATAGTGTTGAACGATTCATCGATGAGTAAGCCCCTACCACCAGAGCGTATTTTAATGAGTATATTTCCAGGAATTCTCCCCACCCATGTCACAGTTGGAGGCACTGGTTATGTCAAAGCTAACAGATTAGAAGGGGTCATGACACTCTCAGGAGTGGTGTCCGCTTTAAGGGACACTTTTTAAATTAAGATAATAGTGTTGAAATGATCACAGATATTCAAGACAAGGAGTCCCCCATCCCAACCGTGGTATTGGGGACTCAACCTAGCTCCTTGCACATGGTATGCAAATGCTCTAACACTAAGTTCCATCTCAGATCAAGATGAGGATCATTTACAGCTGTATCATTTTACCATCTCTGTATTTGTG